TTCCTACACATCTCTCCTTCGGACGAGATTTGTTTTCTAACCGATGTTAGAGTTACGATTATTAAGCGACGACTACATGTACTGATACAGATGATCTCTGTACACTGCAAAAAATTATTTTCTTAGTATTTTTGTCTTGTACAACTATTTAATCAAGACACATTTACTTGAGAAGCAAAATGACTTAAAGGAATAGTTCATCCACAAATGAAAATTTGCTGAAAATGTACTCGCCCACAGCCCATCCAAGATGTAGATGAGTTTGTTTCTTCATGGGAACAGATTTGGAGAAATGTAGCATTGCATCACTTGCTCAGCAATGGATGCTCTGCAGTGAATGGGTGCCGTCAGAATGAGAGTCCAAACAGCTGATAAAAACATCACAATAATCCACAAGTAATCCACACCACTCCAGTGCATCAGTTAATGTCTTGTGAAGTGAATAGCTGTGTTTGTAAGAAACAAATCCATCATTAAGACGTTTTTAACTACAAACCGTTGCTTCTGGCTAAAATATAAGTCCATAATCCATAATAATGCTTCATCCAGAGAAAAGGTCCATACTCTGTTGTCTCTCACATCAAAAGCCACCCACATATTTGATTAGAGCTTGTTTTGGCTTGCTTATTCTGTGCATATTTCTCTCCTGATACAGACATTATGGATAAAGGACTCTTATTTTGGCCAGAAGCAATGATTTAAAGTTAAAACACATCAAGGATGGATCTGTTTCTTACAAACACACAACTTTTGTCTTCTCCAGATGTTAACTGATGGACTGGAGTGGTGTGGATTACTTGTGGATTATTGTGATGTTTTTATCAGCTGTTTGGACTCTTATTCTGACGGCACCCATTCACTGCAGAGGGTGAACTATTTCTTAAATAAATTTAGAACAATTTAGAAAAATTAACCAAGTTTATGCTTAAAACAAGACGAAATACCTGCCAGTGGAGTAAGAAAAATGAACTTGTTTCCTCTTGGAATAAAGTTTATTTTTCTTATCCCATTGACAAGATAATTGTTATTGTTCACACATTTTCAATAAACAAGACTTTTTTTTTTTTCGATTCGAAATTCGAAAAGTCGATTTTGTTATGTTTAGATATTTGTACTGCAAATCAAGACTTTTCAATTACTGAGGAAAAACATTTTGCAGATCTAATGAATTTGGGAAAGTCATGTGATCACAAAACCATTTTGAGAAATTGGTGAATGCTCTTATTATTGACTTCTTTCTCTTGTTATGCTTGATGGGATTCAAGCAGCCAGCAACTTTGAAAAAAAATAGGTCTAAATATGGGTTGATAAATGCAGCTTTGCATATTCAGCAAAAGTGCAAATAAATGAAAAGATAAAATATTATATTGCATCTGCAGCTTTTCCAAACTGTTAGCAATTTGCTCTGCAATTTTTAACCATGGTCATCTGACAAAAACACATGTTCGACTCAGACCGGACTAAAATCACAAAGCGATTTCCTCAGGAAAATCTCGTTCCATCCAAACAGGGCTTTAATCTCTGCTTTCTCTTACTAATGGTGTCTCAGTCTCACATCGCTCAGCTCTCTTCTCGGGGGCCGATGGGACTCTACAAACACACATTAGTATTACTTTGGACACTATAAGGTTACGTTAAGCCCTGCGTTACTACAGACTTAGCATTGAAAAGACATTCAGACGGCCACTGTGGAGATTTGCCTCATTGTGGTTCTGACTGACTGATGTAAAAGACACGTTACGATACATGTTTAATGAGTACATCTGCTCCCACGATCCCGACCGGCACTGCCTGCACTGAATAAACAATCAGCGCTGTCTGTGACCTCGACAAAATAATGTGCTGAATAAACTTCCACGATTCTGATATGACTCACTACAAACCTGGATGGCTTTCTTGTTTTCAACGGACATAATAGGTGAATTTTTTAAGAATATCCTGGCTGTTCTTTTCCATATAGTCAAAGTGAATGGCGACTGGAGCTGTCAAGCTCGAAAATTGATTAAAAAACATGAAAACATCTTTAAAAATCATCCAGGAGACTCATGCGCTACATTCCAAGACTTATGAAGCCATGTGATGGCTTTGTGAGACAGACTGACAGTTTTTCTCTGCTGTAGTTCACGTCAAATATGGTGGTTGTAATATGGTTTAATCTCAAGAACCTATGGCATTTGGTCTCAAATGTTGCTGACACGTCATTTCACAAGTCCATATGACTTTTGTAGTGCATTTTTCAGAGATTCCGTGGGGATGAATATTAATGAATGTGAATAATCACTTCTCGTATGGTGTTTAGAGGTCTTGCAAACATACCACCAAGTCATATTGACCACCTTTATGGTAATTATAAGGTGAATTTTGGTCATGTTGGAGCTTGACAACCCCAGTTTCCATTGACGTTTTTATTATATGGAAAGAACAGCCAGGTTGTTCACAAATTCAACTTATGTGTTACACAGAACAGTTCAGGTTATTTGGGTTTGAACTTTAACTGTAGATATTTTAGCATTACATAAGAAAAAAAAAGACCTTTAGATCATGTAGATCCACAGTTTACTTTCCAGACTAAAATACTACTAAAGTAAGTCATCAACAAAAACAATAGACTATAATTATTTGTAAGAAATACCACATTAATAATAAATATTAATGTTTGAAATGCAACCTATAAAGCTGTTTTTCAGTGGAGGGGAACATTAATAATTGTGCATACTGACTTTGTTCACTTCTCGAATAAATTCATAAGCCTTGGAATATACTGCATAAGTCATGCTGACAACCCTAGTAATGACTGTGAATAATGACTTTGTCCACTTCTTGTATGACTTCATAACTTGTACCACCAAGTCATATGGATCACCTTTATGCTAATTTTAATGTGCTTTTTGTCATTTTGGAGCTTGACAACCTTAGTCTTCATTTGATTTATTATATGGAAAAAGCAGCCATAATATTCTTCAAAAATTCACCTTTTGCTTTACACTAATGAAGTTGTACGGGTGTAACAAAGGTCCTGACGATGAGCAAATAATGACAGAATTGTCATTTGTGTGTTAACTTCATTCTGTAGATATTCATCAAAGAAAAAATTCATCTGTAGATCACACAGTATATTTTCCCGACCGATCTACACCGCTTGCCGCAGTCAGATTTGCAATATGATTAATGCTGCTGTCAGATTTGTATGGTTTCTCAGAGCACTGCATCATTCCTGATCACAAGCGTGAATACCAGCCGTTTTCTCAATTAAGAAATAATCTTTTATATCACTTGCCCTTTTGAGAGTCACTTTCCTTCGAGATAACCATAACTCATTGCTCTCTCTCTCTCTCTCTCTCTCTCTTGCTCCTAAAAACGGGTCTTCTCATAAATACAACAACGCTGATTACTTGGACACTAACACAATCAGCCAGCAATGAAGAGGCGCTGCGTTACATAAGAGACATAACAACATCATCAGACAGATTTAGCTTTTACTTCAGGGAGAGCTATTCCACAAGGCTCATCATTATTGCCGCTATTAGACGCCTCTTATCTCCTGTTAACGCCGCCCCAGCAGTGCAGAGCTAAAGCATATAGTCCACGACCCGGGCTGATTCCGTCACTAACTGCAGTTTGATGGCTCTGAGTGGCTGTATGATTGAGCTGAGCTGGAATTGCACTGAAGAGTGAGGACGCTCTGAGCTGTAATGGTGTGACCCGACTGAACACTGGAGAGACACCAGAGTCACGCGCCATTCAGAACCCAATCAAGAATGCCTTTTAAGTTCCTTTTGAATTGAATTTTGAATATAAGAAAGCTGACTTAAAATAGAATGACATTTAAAGAAACATTTAATTTTTCAGTACAAATGATGATAAATGTGATCATATATACAACATATTATAACAACCTATTTAAAACAACAACAAAAACGATATATATATAATTAAATATTCATAAAATATGTAAATATGTAAAATTTTATAGGTTGTATTTTAAACACTTATTTATAATTTATTATTAATGTTTTAGTACTTGTTTAGTACTTGTCTAGTACTTGATAGATGATAGATAGATAGATAGATAGATAGATAGATAGATAGATAGATAGATAGATAGATAGATATATAGATAGATAGATAGATAAAATGAATATTATCATTATTATATACTCATAATAAATACTAAAACATTAATCATAAATTATGTTTGAAATGCAACGCAAATAATGAATTATTTTATACTTATTTGATCACTTATTTATAATGTATTATTAATATTTTAGTATTTATTATTACTATATTATCATTTTTACTACACTATATACACACACACATATAGTGTCGTAAAAATATATAGTGTAGTACTATTATACAGGTCATATTTAAAGTATTTATTATTTAGTATAGTATTTATGATAGATAGATAGATAGATAGATAGATAGATAGATAGATAGATAGATAGATAGATAGATAAATAGATAGATAATTATAATAAATTATAAATAAATGTTTGAAATGCAACCTAAATAATGAAATATTCATTAAATTAGTAATATAAATTTAATGAATATTATTCAGTTTTATGTATTTCATTACATTTAATGAACTCTCACTGAACCAAGCAAACTTACAAGATGAAAACCTTGACACCTGTTCTTGTGTATTTTGTTATTGTTGTGTGACTGTTGCATTTCCTTTCATTCCAATTCAACATCCTGTGGTTTGTGGTCAATTCGATTCAAACTCCAAAAGTCATGAACTGTAACAGAGCCAATTCTTATATTCTGAATGTTGCCCAACCCTGTAAGACATGTTTTAGTAATCAACATGACGTCCAAACATCTTTTGTTGGATGTTTGGGATTTGCCGCAGGAAGCTGTTCCCCAAGCAGCGGGATTGTTATGTGCATCGAGTGGCACAACAGGAAATCACAATCCCGACTGATAAAGAGATGGAAAGAAAAACAGCACACAAACATCCAAAATCAGAGGAGGCGGGGCTTCAGACTCACCTGCCACTGAGTTAGGACGGGGCATGAGGTAGAGGGGGGTGGGGTGAGAGGAATAGTGGGCGGAGCTGGGCTCAGGGATCTTGTTGAGGCTGTAGGTGGAGGCGGCCATGTTTTCGTCCACGCGATACAAGCTGGAGTCCAGAGTGGATCTGTGAGAGTGCCAGAGCTTCAGGCTGCTGCCTCGAGAGCCGTCGCCGTGTTTCCCGCTCCTGTCCATTGGCTCCGAGTAACTGGTGAGGGTGGCTGGGAAAAGAGGCAGGATGAAGGAGAGAAGCTGTCAAGACTGTGCTCCTTACAGATCACATCAGCTGGGTTTTCGTGCAAAGTTGTGACAAGAAAATTCTGTTAGAAAGGGTAATTTCCCCAGAGGACTGAGTGGAGCTGCGTTTGAATACTGTATGAAAAGTGATTGCATCAATTAAGCTCTTGCAGTTTTGCGAGTATCATTTGGCTTGATTTTCAGTGCATTATCTTCAGATATGCGTGATAAACACAGAGCTTTAGAGCCTTAAAAATATCATTACATCTAAAGACTTATTTTACACCACTAGTTGCATAAGTGGAACTGCAACTTGTTTGTTTCAATGAAATTAGATTTTTGTTTTCAGAAAAGAAGTGCATTATACGTACTCACCTCGCTGCGTTCATTTTTCAGTGTGAAAACATGAATTGCACTACTAATACTATGAAACAGAGCTGAAAAGTGCAGAATTATGTGAAATGGGACACAGTTAGTGTAAGTGGAGGTATGAATAAAACATGGCTTAATATTGGTGCATTCAAGTCATGTTAGAAAGATTGTATTTACGAGTTGAACACACTTAAACGTCACCACAAAGTCGTAATTATGAGAGGTAGACTAAAACTTTGTTTAAGCCCAGATTTTTCGAGTTTGGAGAGTGTCAGTGAGAAAAGATGTTTGGAAGCAATGGATGCAGCATCTGTATTGATGGTAAATTTGTTGAAATAATATTATCAAATCTAAATCTAAATATATTTATTAAATCTTCAATTTACTATAAAACTAATCTAAGTTGCATGCACAAAATACAATGTAAAATTATGATAGAATATATTCAATTTACAATTAACATATTCAGAAAAAAAAGTAAATTAAAAAATTGAACATAAAAAGCAAAAACATATTCATCATTTTGTAGAAGCAGAGTTTAAAAACCTTGCTGATTTTCATTTATTTATTTATTTTTTTGTAGAAAAGGTATCACCATCTTGCTCCGAGCAGAGTGACTTGAACTCACTTGACATTGTCATTATGACTTCCCAACTCATAAATACGAACTTCCCAGGAGGAATTAAACACACCATACGGCAGCTCCGGGAACACAACTCCCGCCTTTCAGTCAAAAGAGCCACTCGGCTTTTAGAAAAGGCATCTGATTTTTATTCTAGCACATAGACCAGTCAGTATTAGCTGGACCAGCCTGAAAATATTCAGGTTTTATTGTGATTTTAACTTAAGGAGCAATGATTCCACTGTTGTCAAAACATATACTTATTTTAACTATAAACTTTAACCGTTTTTGCGATTTCAGTGTTTCCTCTTTCAAGTAGAAAGGAGCTGTACTCGCAAGCCTATTGCTTTTATGAAAAAATAGCTGGCCGGGTGAATTACCAAGATGGACAAAGAGTAAGCTGACATTCTGAAAGGAGAATGGAGTGTCTGGGAAACCTAATGTACATTCACTATTAAAAAAGTTCCACCTTCCTCAACTTCAAAACTTAAGTTCAGTTGCTGCCTTATTTAAAGTATAATCGAATTGGCTGTACAAGTCATTTCAACTTAAATGATATTAAACTGACTTAAAAGCTGAGTTGAATCACGTATAACTAAAAAAGGGAAATTATTTTGATGTTAAATTAAAGGAAAAACACATGTTACCATGACTTACTGATCACATCATTTCTTACAATGTTCACAACAGAAAATGCTACACATTTAAGTCAATAAACTTTGCACAAAAATGAATATATATATATATATATATATATATATTGGAAGAAATGAATGATTTTAGCCAACAAGAAAGCATCAAATTGATCAAAAGTGACAGTAAAAACATTTTTAATGTTACAAATGATTTCTAAAACCAAGTAAATGCTGTTCTTTTGAACTTTCTATTCATCAAATAATCCTGAAAAAAAAGTTTCCACACAGCTTAACTATTTTCAATGGTAATAATTAGAAATGTTTCTTGAGCAGCAAATCAGCATATTAGAATGATTTCTGAAGATCATGTGACACTGAAGACTGGAGTAATGATCCTGGAAATTCAGCTTTGATCACAGGAATAAATTACATTTAACTATATATTCACATAGAAAACAGTAAAAATCCATTTTAATCCCCACAAAACCTAAACAGTCTCAATTATCAAGCCGATTTGATTGTCTGAGCAGTCTGAGCAGTTAGTGCTCAAGCCCCACCCACGGCCACTGACAGACTGTCCCATATTAGCATATCTCCGGTCACTGTGAACAGAGCTGTTCTTGACAAGGTAAAAAGGGTGTTGTTTTACACGACCGTTGAGGAATTTTAACCAAAGTATGTTACAGACATTTCAAGAAGACCTTAAAGAATCACACCAAATTCTGGAAAAATAGGCATCCGATGTCCACTTTAAAATATATTAAAATAGAAAACAGTTTTTTTAAATAGTACATATGCACTATAGTACAAATAGTACATATTACACACAATATTACTGTTTTTACTGTATTTTTGATCAAATAAATGCCACTTTTGAAAACATAACCAATCTTACCGACCCCAAATGTCAGTCACTCACCGATAATGCCGCTGTCTCTGCTCTCCAGGGTGGATGTGGGGCTGGTGACGGCCTGTCCTGGAGCAGCAGAAGGAAGAGTGGAGCATGGACTGCAGGCAGGAGGCGAGGCGGTGCTGCTGGTCAGGGTGGAACACGGACTCATCCTCCCACTCACTCCTAAACCCTGCACACAAAGCCTTTGCTCTCAGTGTCTCAGCTTGTGTTTGCAGTTGACCAATTAATCTCTATCAGCTCTGGAAGTCTGCAGCTGGCAGCAGGAAGTCCTCTCTCTCGGCTCCTGATAGGACGGCGGTGGCACTCCGTGACAGGCTGAGCCAGTGTCGGCATTCTGAAAGGAGAATGGAGTGTCTGGGAAACCTAATGTACATTCACTATTAAAAAAGTTCCACCTTCCTCAACTTCAAAACTTAAGTTCAGTTGCTGCCTTATTTAAAGTATAATCGAATTGGCTGTACAAGTCATTTCAACTTAAATGATATTAAACTGACTTAAAAGCTGAGTTGAATCACGTATAACTAAAAAAGGGAAATTATTTTGATGTTAAATTAAAGGAAAAACACATGTTACCATGACTTACTGATCACATCATTTCTTACAATGTTCACAACAGAAAATGCTACACATTTAAGTCAATAAACTTTGCACAAAAATGAATATATATATATATATATATATATATATTGGAAGAAATGAATGATTTTAGCCAACAAGAAAGCATCAAATTGATCAAAAGTGACAGTAAAAACATTTTTAATGTTACAAATGATTTCTAAAACCAAGTAAATGCTGTTCTTTTGAACTTTCTATTCATCAAATAATCCTGAAAAAAAAGTTTCCACACAGCTTAACTATTTTCAATGGTAATAATTAGAAATGTTTCTTGAGCAGCAAATCAGCATATTAGAATGATTTCTGAAGATCATGTGACACTGAAGACTGGAGTAATGATCCTGGAAATTCAGCTTTGATCACAGCAATAAATTACATTTTAATTAATTATAAAGGGGACATCGGATGCAAAATTCACTTTTACATTGTGTTTGCATATAAATGTGTCTTAGCAGTGTGTGCAACCAGCCTACAATGATAAAAATCCATTCACTCCTTTTTAATCCCCACAAAACCTAAACAGTCTCAATTATCAAGCCGATTTGATTGTCTGAGCAGTATGACATCATAGTGCTCAAGCCCCACCCACGGCCACTGACAGACTGTCCCATATTAGCATATCTCCGGTCACTGTGAACAGAGCTGTTCTTGACAAGGTAAAAAGGGTGTTGTTTTACACGACCGTTGAGGAATTTTAACCAAAGTATGTTACAGACATTTCAAGAAGACCTTAAAGAATCACACCAAATTCTGGAAAAATAGGCATCCGATGTCCACTTTAAAATATATTAAAATAGAAAACAGTTTTTTTAAATAGTACATATGCACTATAGTACAAATAGTACATATTACACACAATATTACTGTTTTTACTGTATTTTTGATCAAATAAATGCCACTTTTGAAAACATAACCAATCTTACCGACCCCAAATGTCAGTCACTCACCGATAATGCCGCTGTCTCTGCTCTCCAGGGTGGATGTGGGGCTGGTGACGGCCTGTCCTGGAGCAGCAGAAGGAAGAGTGGAGCATGGACTGCAGGCAGGAGGCGAGGCGGTGCTGCTGGTCAGGGTGGAACACGGACTCATCCTCCCACTCACTCCTAAACCCTGCACACAAAGCCTTTGCTCTCAGTGTCTCAGCTTGTGTTTGCAGTTGACCAATTAATCTCTATCAGCTCTGGAAGTCTGCAGCTGGCAGCAGGAAGTCCTCTCTCTCGGCTCCTGATAGGACGGCGGTGGCACTCCGTGACAGGCTGAGCCAGTGTCGGTTCGGGTTAGGTGGGCGCTGAGGCCCCAGGCAGGCCATAATGAAGCATGGCACGGCTAATCTGCCCACTACCACGATTAACATCAAACATCACAACAGGCAAAGCACCTTGCCTTAAAACATTCACAACCACTTAAGGTCAGAGTGACAAGTCCATACACACACACACACTCACACTCACACACACACACACACACACACACACACACATACACACACACTCTCTCTGTAGTTATGTAACACTATACTCCTGTTGTTCAGACCGTTCTTGTTCTGGTGCTCAGGACTGCATGCTAACATGAGGAAAATGGGCCAACTGTATTCTGAAAAGTGCTGTATCAACAGAGCGAATAGCAAAAAGGCTGTCTTTATGTAATTCCCTAATTAGAGGTAAACTCATTTGAATGCCATATGTGGCCTCTTCTCTGCAGGAGGGAAAGATCATTTTTGAATAAAGCTGACACCTCAAAGAACAAGAGATTTTACAGTGGAAAGTGAGGAAAATTCTGTTTTCTGCTTCGTGACGTTATTTTCATTACAATTAATCTCCCACAATTAATAATATCATGATAGCAACAATTAATCTATATCAGGGGTAGGCAACGTCGGTCCTGGAGTGTCGATGTCCTGCAGAGTTTAGCTCCAACCCTGAAAAAAAACACACCTTACTGTAGCCTTAGTAATCCTGATGACTTTAGTTAGCTTGTTCAGGTGTGTTTGATTAGGGTTAGATCTAAACTAGGGCTGCATGATAAATCGCATGCGATATTTAACGAGCATCTTGTCAGAAAGCCGGTTCTGTAATCAGCGGTAAATCTCCATTC